TCCCTCCCTTCCTCCCTCCCTCCCTCCCTCCCTCCCTCCCTTCCTTCCTTCCTCACCTGCTGTCACTCACACAGTCTTTACTAAGTAGTATAAAGGGATCATGCCTAACCTAGCCAGGCATGATGATATACACCTGAAGTCCCCACACTCTCGAGGCTGAGGAGGAGCTAGACTAAGCTAACAAAGCAAGCCCTATCTTTAAAAGCAAAACATAAAGCAGAAACAAAAAACAATATACTTGGTATAGAACAACAACAACAAAATGTAGTCATTCCTTTCAAATGGCTTGTTAATTTTTATTTAAATTGTGTACATAGTCTGATATTGATGAAGGAATCTCGTATAGAATACTTAAAGGTAAAATTTGACCTCATCTATAACTTTAGCAAGTAATCTTTGACTATTATTTCTGTCTCATTTCTGCCTCTTACTGTAGGAGCAGTTATTTCTCTTACTTATTATACCTTTACCCAGTAGGTCCTGGTATCCATCCCTGACCATCACACTTTGAAGGATAAAAAATTTAAAAGTTTGGAACTATAAACTGTACTAGTGATTGTTCCTGCCCATAGGAAACTCTTCTCTTATTAATCATTCCCCTAAGTTTCCTAAATCCCTGCCTCTCTGATGCTGGGGGTACAGCTGTATGGCTCATGCTCTTCTAACACAGTTAGGAACAAGCCATTCAAAACTGTCTGGTGCAGGTGAAGTGTCACATGCCTTTGACCATAGCACTTGGGAAGCAGAAACAATTGATCTCTTTGAGTTCAAGGCCAGGCTAGTCTCTCATTGGGATCCCAGGCCAGCCAGAACTATACAGCAAGACCCTGTCTCGAAACAAACTCCCCTAAAAAACTTCCTGGCCACTAGGGAAATTTCCAGGAATCCACAAGAATGACCCCAACTAAGAATCTAAGCTCTAGTGAACCAGGTACCTTAACTGCCCTTCCCCTATAATCAGATTGATGACTACTTTAATTGCCATCTTAAAGCCTTCATCCAGTAGCTGATGGGAAGCAGAGATCCATAGCTAAGTGCTGGGCTGAACTCCTGGAGTCCAATTGTAGAGAGGGAGGAGTGACAAGTAAAGGGGTCAAGACCATGTTGCAGAAACCCACAGAAATAGCTGACCTGAGCAAGAGGGAGCTCACTGACTCCAGCCTGACAGCTGGGGAATCTGCATAAGACTGAACTAGGCCCCCTGAACGTGGGTGTCAGTTGGGGGCTTGGGTAGTCTATAGGGCAGTAGTGGAACCAGGATTTATCCCTAGTGCATGAACTTTTTGGAGCCCATTCCCTATGGAGGGATACCTTGTGCAGCTTAGATACAGGGGGAGGTCCCTGGTCCGGCCCCAAATGATGTGACAGACTTTGATGATCCCCTATAGGAGGCTTCACCCTCTTTGAGTTGTGGATGGGCGGGGTGGAGGGGAGATGGTGGGGGGAGTAGGAGGATAGGAGGGAGAGGGAACTGGGATTGCTATGTAAAATAAGATTGTTAAAAAAAAAAAAGAATACAGGGCTGGAGAGATGGCTCAGAGGTTAAGTGCACTGGCTGCTCTTCCAGAGGTCCTGAGTTCAATTCCTAGAAACCACATGGTGGCTCACAACCACCTGTAATGAAATCTGGTGCCCTCTTCTGGCCTGCAGACCTATAGACAGACAGAACACTGTACACACAATGAATAAATAAATATTTAAAAAAAATACTAAGCAAAAAACAACAACAAAAAAAACTGCCTGGCTTCTTTTCCTGTGTTTTGAAAATATGACCATAGATAAAAGTAAAAATTTCTTTATGCAAGACACAAAATTTCTTTATGTAATATTGAACTTTACAGTTGAAATTTCGCGTGTGTTTTGGTTTTTCAAGGCAGGGTTTTACTGTGTTGTATACCTGGTTGTCGTGGATATCACTGTATAGACCATGGTGGCCTCCAACTCCGAGATCCACCTGCCTCCTCCTCATGAGAGCTGGAACTAAAGGTGTGCACCACACCTACCTACATTTGTGCAGATTTCCTCAAAACCTTTATGTATCTCAAGGCAGTTTCACCCCCATATTCTTTTTACCCTGGTTTTTGGCCTGGCACAGCTAATCATTCCTTCTACCACTGATCCACACCGGCAGCCCAATAAATTATAAACATTCATAATTGAGTATGCAATATTTTAATTTCTTCCAGAAGTAGTGGGCTTGATAGGTAGAGTCCCCAGATGCATACAGGGCTGGAGAGTATGAAACTGTCTTCTCTCTCTCTCTCTCTCTCTCTCTCTCTCTCTCTCTCTCTTTTCCTGAGACATGGATTCGCTGTGTAGCTTTGGTGCCTCTCCTGGCACTCTGTAGACCAGGGTGACCTTGAACTCAGGGAGATCCGCCTGCCTTTGCCTCCCAAGTGCTGGGATTAAAGGTGCATGCCACTACTGCCCTGCATGAAAAGTAGAAGGTAAATGGAAGAATGGAAGTGTTTCAGTCACCTGTGTCAGCGTTTCTACCTAGAGTAGAATGGTCTTTTCTTCATGTTGACAAATCTTCCTCTCTATAAGCAGCACTGTTGACGTTTTAATCTGCGTAAGCTGCCCTGTAGTTTGAACACTTTTATCCATGGCCAGTTCTTACCAGAGCTAGAAGTTTGTACTATCCTAAAATGTCTCAGGACATTGGCATATGTCCACTAGAGGGCAGAATGAATCACTTGCTGTTGAGAACCACTGTCTTAAAGGAAAATTTATAATTAATGTTTTAGAAAATAATGCAAAAAAGTATTTCTTGCCAGGTGGTGGTGACACACACCTTTATTCCCATAGGCAGAGGCAGGCCTGGTCTACAGAGTGAGATTCAGGACAGCCAGGGCAACACACAGAGAAACTTTGTCTCAGAAAAACAAACCAACTAATTCTTTCTACTTCCCTTACTGGTAAAATAAAGAAGGCTATACTTGTTTTGTTTTGTGTTAAGTTGACTCTTTGGTGGTCTTCTGATTTGAACTTTTGCCTGCAATGTAAAGAACTTTGAAATAAAATGTTATAATGACTAGCAAATGTTTTATTATTGTGACTTTATTTTTCCTCTTAAATCCACAGCATAAAAAGCCACATGGAAAGGACAAAGAAAACAGAGGCATTAACCCAGTGGAGAAGTCTAAAGTGGAAGAGACTTCAGAGTACTCTGTCACAAAAAGCAGATTGCCACTTCGAGCCTCAAATCTCTAATTAATCTGAGGGCTAAGGTTTTCTTTTCTTAAAAAGTAAAACCTGAAACTTCATAATTTGAACTTTTATACAGATTTCAATGGGATAGACTATGTCAAGACATCACAGTAACTAGTTGAATTGAGTCCTTTTTAATCATCCTTATAGTTTAAGCATGTAGTAAATTTGGTTTCATTTGGAATTTATATTATGTGTGTTTCTAGCTTATATAAAGTAGCTCTTCTGTAATGCGTTGTTTTCTTGTATATTATTAAATACCAAATATATGGAAATTGTTCTTCCAGGCTTGGACTTAAATGGATGAATGTCATCTCCCTTCCTGTCTTGCTAGGCCTGAGTTCTGTATGTATTTTCTTACCTCTAACCTGCCTTTTCTGTTTTGTCTTAACTCACCTCTCTCTTTTCCTGTCACTAAACCATTTGTAGACCTACAGAAAGGTTTCCTTATTATGAGATACCCAGGGCTTTACCTAGAAATCTGGTTTCAGTGATTACAGTCATTGCCAATAATAAACCAGACCCTAGAAGTACCCTTCCTTCAGTACTGTTCATTTGTTCCTCCTTCAGTATATAAGCATCTCATTTCTTCCCTAGGCCTAACACAGTCTCCCACAGTTCACGTGCAGCCTCCCAGAGTGTCCGTTGCTGTTACAGGAGACCTGTTAGAGCTGTGATTTATTCTTTAAGACTACCAATTATGATTATAACTTCTATTGTGTCTATCTTTCAAAATTTTATTTTTTTGTATATAATAAAATGTGTATATACATTCACTCTGTTGAAATCTTAACCCTTGTACAACTATATTTCTGGAAGTTGGGCCATTCCAAGTTGAAGAACCAGCGCACTTACCTAGAAGGAACGAGAAGGAACGTGTGCAGAGAGTAAATGTGATCACATCGAGTTTAGTGTATGCATTTTAAAGAGATGTAACTTTTTATGTTTTTGAGACAGTCTCGCTATGTAGCTCAGGCTGGCTTTGAACTTACTATGCAGCCCAAACTATCCTAGAACCCAGGACAACCCTCTGTCATCCTTCCAAGGGCTGGGGTTACAGGCATGTGTCACTATGACTTTAGAGATTTGACTTTGTAACTAAGAACTAAACCTTAATAGGAAATTAAGAAAAAATGCTACTTCAAGAAATTAAGTTTCCTTGTGTCATCTCTCCAGCCCATTGTAGAGACAGAAATGTTATTTTAATAAAAATAATGGATAAATTTCTTTGCAAATAAATATGTGAATATTATCTAACATGCTCTTGGTAAATCTATAATTGGTAAATTTTTTAATTAAATTATTTTACTTTGTGTGTGTGTGTATGGATGTCCTGCCTGCCTGTATGTCTGTGCTTCACTTTCATGCTTGGTGTGCTTGGAGGCCAAAGAGGCCCTGGAATAGGAGTTAGGACAATTGTGGACCACCATGGGAGCAGCCAGAACTCTTACACTCTGAGCCATTTCTTCAGCCCTGAAATTTTTTTCCTTTACTTGTTTGCCCGTAATTTCTTATTTGGCAATGATATTTATAGAGGTAAGCAAACAGCATTAAAGCTCCTAAAACAAGCTTCTATATAGTTACCGTCAAGGAAGAAAGGGGGCTTCCAGTGTACTCCAAGGACATATACCTTCTCTATATGAGAACAGGAAAATGACCCACCCTACACAACCTGAATTACAGCTCACCTTGTTTGTTAGTCATATAAAGTTCTCTGGGCATGGTAGTACAACTAATTTAACTGCCTGACAAGCAAATAAAAACCAAAATTAATACCCAGTCATAAATTAGCTTTACAAATCTTCATGTGCAGTGTCAGGCACTCAAATAATCAAGAGTGAGACCATCGAAAATGGGAGAGTTATGTGACATAGCGTCAAGGGGTCATACATAATTCCTGAACCCAGGAAGCTGAGGCAGAAGGAGCATAAATTCAAAGTTAGCCTAGGCTACACAGTAAAACCTTGTCAAAGTCAAGCAAACAAGAATGCCTTAGTAGATAAGGGCTTTGAAAAATCCAATGAAAGATTTAGCACTTTGTCCAAACTCTGGAAACAAAGGTTTATAGCCACCAAGCATGTGCTGAGTCAGTGCAAACCCAAGCAGTACTTTACTTGGCCTTTTCCTATTCCATCTTGAAGCGTCTATAACAGTTGTGAATTGAGCCACAGAGCCTAGGGAGATGGCTCCTCTGGTAAAATGGCTGTTGTACAAGCGTGAGGATTTGAGTGGATCTCTAGCACCCATCCCCAAACCAACCTGGGCCTTGCAACAGGCAGGTTAGCTCCAGAGCTGGGTAAAGTAGGGACAGGTGGATCATTTAGAGCTCACTGGCCCATCAGCCTAGCTAATGGATAAAGTCCAGGTGTTCACCCACTACATACAAGAAGATGGAGTCCTGGTGGTTTCTAGTTCCTAAGGAGTGGAGAGGCTTCATTCTCAAAACCTACCTGAGACAACCTGAAGGAAAGGCACCAGACACTTGTTTCTTAAAAGTGGAAAGTAGGGAACAGTTTTCACACAGTAAAGCACAGATGGACAACCCATGGCACCAGGGGTAAACAGTTACAGTTCAGATAAAGACTGACATGCAGCCGGGCAGTGGTGGCTCACACCTTTAATTCCAGCACTCGGGCAGAGGCAGGTGGATCTCTGGGTTTGAGGCCCTCACAGAGAAAAACCCTGTCTCAAAAAAAAAAAAAAAAAGACATGTATGTAGCCTGAGCTGAAGCAGTGGAGAGGACTGTACCAGGAAATGAGGTTGTTCAAAAGAGGATCTCAAAAAACAAACAAACAAAATCCAACCAAATATATACACTGGGAAATTTAGAAAGTGGCACACACAGCCCCAGAAGGCAGAATCTACTTCTGCCTGATCTGTAGGCTCTGTGCAAGGAGGAAGTGATGGCAGTGGCCCTGTGAAGCACGGTTAATCTGTGTCTGGTCTTCAAGGAAACTTCGTTTGCATTAAAGATTTTCTTTTGTGTGTACATGTGTGGGCGTGTGCATATGCATGCAGGTGCCTTTGGTAGCCAGAAGAAGGCGTTAGATCCGATAGAGCTGGAGTTACAGGTGCTTGTGAGCTGCCCAACATGCGTGCTCATGTGAGCAGCAAGTGCTCTTAAATCTAAGCCAGCTTTCCAGCCCCCTCAAGGAAATCTGTTGACAATTTAGAAAAGTCTCTAAGTCCCTACAGCACACACATGCACATGCTTGAGCGTACACACACACACACATGCACGCACGCACGCCCGCTCATGCACTCCTGCACATGCCACGGAACCTGTAGAAGCCAGAGGACGATTTGCCTGAGTGGTTCTCTCCCTTTTCCCTGAGGTTCCTAGCCAATGTCATTTACCTTAATCCATCTTGCTGATCGCTAATGATGCTACCTTCCAAATGCCTTCACTTCTTTCAATTTTCCATTGATTGTATGTATCCTCTGGTTCCTTGCTAGCCCAACGTCTTTCCAAACTTTGTCTGCTTCTTGTGCCTTCCAGGTATACTTCTCAGTGAAAAGATTCAAGAAGGTTTTTTTTTTTTGTTTGTTTTTTGTTTCTTTCGAGACAGGGTTTCTCTGTGTAGCTTTGGAGCCTATCCTGGCACTTGCTCTGGAGACCAGGCTGGCCTCAAACTCACAGCGATCCGCCTGCCTCTGCCTCCCAAGTGCTGGGATTAAAGTCGTGTGCCACCAACGCCAGGCTCAAGAAGGTTAAGTATCCTATTTGATATCCTGTTAGGTCAACCTCATCTTATTTGGAATTTTTTGCTTGGAAGGGAAATTAAACTCTGCTACTAATGCCTTGGTTTGGCAAACCAGCTAAGAGGCCGATGGTTGTTCGAGATGGTCTTGTGTGGCCCAGGCTGGCTTCCATGGAGTCAAGTTCATTACCTTGAACTTGTTTTTTTTTTTTTTTTTGGTTTTTTTTTTTTTTTTTTTTTTTTTTTTTTTTTTTTTAAGGATTTTTTATGTACGTGAGTAGTCTATCTGCATATACACCTTTATGCCAGAAGAGGGCATCAGATCCCATTATAGGTGGATGGAAGCCACCCTGTGGTTGCTGGGAATGAACTCAGGACCTGTGGAAGTGCTCTTAATCTTTGAGCCATCTCTCCAGCCCCTTCCTTGAACCTTTAACACTCTTCCTTGACCTCTTGAGTGCTGAGATTACAAGCAAGTGCTGCATTGCTTGGTTTATCTGGGCACTGAATCAGGGCTTCATACATGTTAGGCAAGCACTCTGCCACCTGAACACAGCCTCTGTGGCAAGAGTTTTTGTTTGGCTGGTGGCAGGCCACATCTGGGACACTTTTCCCTTAATTCCTCATTAAATTACAGCCAAGGTGATTGGATAAATCAGAATTAAAACAATAAAAAAAGAAGCTACCTTATTTTGTTTTTAATTTTATGTGTGTTTTGGCTGCATATATGCTCGTATGTGCATATAAGCCATGTATGTGTAGTGTCCTCAGAAGCAGGGAGACATCATTGGATCCCCAGGAACTGGGGTGCTGGGAATCAAACCGAAGGCCCCTGCAAAAGCATCTAGTGCTCCTAAACCATCACTCCAGTCCCTTTTAGCCTTCTAAGAATCTGATTTAAAAAAACAAAAACATTAGTACTATATGAGCTGATAAGTGTTACAACCCTTTCCTGAATTTTCTATAAAGACAAATGATGAGGCTATCTCATATTCTTTTTGAAATAATACAATCTCAAAAAAAATAAATAAGAGGCTGGGGACTTAGCTCAGTGATAGAGGCTTGGTCCTCAGCTCCATATATGTATATATGTATATAAAATTTGGAAAGAGGAGCAAGCAAGGACCAGGAGATACAATCAATGGGAAATTCTAAGAAGTGAAGGCATTTGGAAGGTGGCACCATTAGAAAAACAAGGGTGCTGCCAGCAAGATGGCTCAAGGCAAATGACATTGGTTAGATTAATAGGAATCTCAAACCAGAGGAAGAGGGCCTCT